TTAGAAATTAATCACCATCCACGTTTTCCAAGTTAAAACTAACTACCTCGTTTTTCTTTTATCACCTTATATTATCTTATATATTTCGTATTAACTGATTATTCGTACAAACGCAGCATTCACGCCGCTTTAGTGTTCGATTTACCCAAGGTGAAAGGTAACTTCTTCATTATTTTTTAGATTTTATGTTTTTATGTTTTACATGTTTTTAGTGCTTCCATTTTACCATGTATCTTTTATTATATGTATACCAATTATATGTTTAGGTAATATAACTAAATAAGTTCAATTGCCTGTTGGTTGTTTATATACCGTTTTTATTTTGGTTATTTTTTACTTTGATTTTGATTATCAATTGTTTCTACATTTTTTCTGTATTCATTGTGAATTGTTGTCTCATTATGTTTATTTGTTCGCATCAATTTGTCCTTTTTTCAAATATATTTTCTAAGTAAGGCATTTTTAAGCTCTAATTTTGCCATGTCGTTTACACATTTTCCAAATAACTATTCTAGTTTTTGAGTTTTTTATCCCCCAATTTTTAGCATTATTTAGCGCTTTTAACATAAGATCACCCGTTTCCATTACTTTTTTATATGTGGCTCAATGCGCTTAAATTCTACCTGCCCCCTCCATTCTGGCCTACTACATTAAGAGATCGTCCGTAAAGCACGTACGCTCGGATGCGGTAGAGGGAGTCTGCAAATGACGTAAATAAGGCGATGGGCAGGGGTGAATTATAAAAGTGATAAGATTAAGATAAGACTAAATTAAAAAAAACATCTTAAAATGTTAGGTAGGTAGATTAAAAGCGTAGGTTTTTTTATTGAGGTGGAGGGTACTAAAGAAAGCGTATATCAAAATGCGGGGGAGCAAGGTACATCTCAATATTTTCTGAAAAAAAAATTTTCTAATGTGATAATGACCTATATATATTTTTTTAGATTGTTGTGTATTCCAGGTTTTTTCATAATTGTTGTTTAAATTAAAAAAAAATTTAGGAAAAAAATATTTATGCGCCAAAAAAGCAAAAAAGTTTTGTTTTTTTTTGGACAAATTTTGCAAAATTTTTTCCAGTCCAGTTCGAGTCAATGTTTCAAGAGTTTTGAAGTTTTGTTTTCTTTTTATGTTTGATATGGATATATATATATATATATATATATATATATATATATATATATATATATATATATATATATATATATATATATCGCTGCTAGAAATAATTTCACTCATTAAACGAGTCATTGGCTGAGCTAAAGTATTGTTCGAAAATATTCTGTTGCACTTTTTTAATAATTTTCGACGTTTTCTTTTTGTGGAAGGATCCATTCTAAATTGTAGCTATAATATATATATATATATATATATATATATATATATATATATATATATATATATATATATACATATATATATATATATATATATATATATATATATATATATACATATATATATATATATATATATATATATAAATATATATATATATATATATATATAAATATATATATATATATATATATATAAATATATATATATATATATATATATATATATAAATATATATATATATATATATATATATATATTATATATATATATATATATATATATATATATATATATAAATATATATATATATATATATATATATATATATAAATATATATATATATAAATATATATATATATATATATATATATATATATATATATATATATATATATATATATATATATATATATATATATATATATATATATATATATATATTATAGCTACAATTTAGAATGGATCCTTCCACAAAAAGAAAACGTCAAAAATTATTAAAAAAGTGCAACAGAATATTTTCGAACAATACTTTAGCTCAGCCAATGACTCGTTTAATGAGTGAAATTATTTCTAGCAGCGACAATTTGTTGGAGGAAGACCAAATTGAAGCAACACCTATTGACTATTCCAAAAAAGGTATTGCTAATTATAATTCAGAAGGTAATATATCAGATACAAGTATCGATCAGCTGACAAACTCATCATTATCAGTATCTGATATCGATCTATCTACTGATGGTGAAAATGATAATGTTACTAGTGTGAGCAAACCTTTAAAAGATTTTGGAATCGAAACAGGTCAAAGCTATGCCAATATGAAAGTTCTTTTAGTAAAAATGATTATTCATCACCCTGACTTACCAAGAGATCCACGAACACTGTTTAATATCTCTAAAAATGTAATTTCTCCTAACTTACAAGATGTTTTTCCTGGTAAATACTACCATTTTGGTATTCAAAATGGTTTATGTCAACTCATTCCTATTTTAAAGCAAGCTTGTTTGATTGGTGAAAATAATCTATTTAAACTGAAGGTTGGTATTGATGGTTTACCTTTGTTTAAGAGCACGATTGCTGGATTTTGGCCTATTACAGCAGCAATTGATAAGATCAGTAATTCAGTATTTTTAGTTGGGTTGTATTATGGTGAAAATAAACCAAAATCATGTCAAGAATTTACATTTTATTTAGTAAATGACATGAAACTTCTTTCTGAATCCGGATTTATTTTTGAAGAAATTACTTATAACGTCGAATTTTTATTTTGCAATTGCGACATGCCTGCAAAATCATTATTGAAATGCGTAAAAGGTCATACTGCTTATTTTGGTTGCGATAGATGTGAAATAAAAGGAACAAATTTCAAACATCGCAGAATATATGAAGGAGAATCAACCTTAAGAACTAATGATTCCTTTAGAAATAGACGTCAAAAAGAACATCATTACGAAATGTCACCTTTTGAATCCATTGCCCATCTTGATATGATTAAGTTCTTTCCTTTTGACTACATGCACCTTTTTTGTAAAGGAGTATTTGTGCGTTATTTAGAAATTTTACGAAGCAATCAATTGCCCTATCGTCTAAGTGTAAATGGCATGCAAAATTTAAACACCGATATATCAATGAATCATGACTGTACCCCTTTTGAATTTCCCAGAAAACCACGTAGTATGAATCATCTTAATAAGTGAAAGCAACTGAAACACGATATTTTTGTTTGTATCTTGGACCGTTTTTATTGCAACGTCATGTGCATAAAGAATATTTCCATAATTTTTTGTTGTTATCAACAATATTTAGAATCATTTGTCATCCAATTTGGAGAATTTATTTAAACAGTTATTGTAAAGACCTAGTCAAAACATTTATTACAAACTCAGCACTTCTTTTTGGTCGTGAATTTATCACTATGAATGTTCATTGTATGCTTCATATTGTTGATGATTGTAAAACATTTGGGTGTTTTGATAATTTTAGTTGTTTTCAATCGGAAAATTTTATGCGATTTATAAGACAATTGGTTACATCGCCGAATCTTCCATTGCAACAAGCTGTAAATAAAGTGCTTAGCAGGGGTCAAAATTTAAGGCAGCTAAAACCAATTGCTTTGAAACCAGTAAATTTTTGTAAATTATCATCGTGAATTTCTTTTAACGAAACTACAAAGATTTTATATTACGCTAAATGTTATTTTAAATCATTTTTGTTGTCAAATAAAAAACCAAATTGATATGTTATGCTTTTAGACAAAAAGATTGTCAAGATACGTAGTATTTATAATACCAATCAAAATGATGATATATGGTTGAAGGCATGTTACTTATTAGAACAAACTGATGCGTATGATTATCCCCTAAAATCCTCTGCGTTGGATATTTATAAAGGAACGCATTTTTCCAAATCTTTAACTAAAGTTAATATTATTAATTTAGTTTATTGTAAACTATTTTCCTACAAAAATAACTTTGCTCTAATTTTGCATACTTGTAATAGTTAAATTATATTATCTTAATAATATTGTATTATCTTAATAATATTAGTTGCTAACAATTTGTTTTTTATTTATTTATTTATGCTTTATTTAGGTGCTGTAATTCCAATTACTATTTTTACATTTAACTATTAAATATGAAAATTTAAAAATGGTAATTTTTTATATATCATACAAAATATTACTTATTTAACAATGGTAAATTTATTATAGATGTATATTTTAATTGAGTTTGCTGACAGTTCTATAGCCGTAGCTTTACATTCGTGGCTAGAGTCGGATGAAGCTGACCAAAACGGCATCCACATGGTTGCATTTCCCGATTTTAAGTATACAAAAACACAATATATGCTGAAGAATAAATTGCCAGCACTAACTACATGGGAAACTGTTCCATGCAAAGTTTTATACAAACATGGTAAGTGTGCATAGTAATTAGGAAACTTAAAAAAAACTTAAAATCTAGCAGACAATAATGCTTGACTGATAGATTGGTAGGATGATTTGCTAGATGAATTAAGATTAGATGAACTTTTTTAATACCATATAGTTTTGTTTTTAATTCTGATTAACGTTTTTTTTTAATTTAAACACTGCAAAAAATACTCAGAGACTGGAAAATTACTTTCGACGGACTATGAAAATGGACGAACTCACAGACAACCTCTGTACCTATCGGACGAGGAATACGAAACGAATGACAAAAAAAAGTCAAAACTGACTCACAAAGAAAACGAAGTTGACTTAGCATCACCACCAACTCCACCAACAACACTGAATACGCAACTTCTTCATTTATTTCCAACCATCACCATTATATTCAGCATCTTCACAACCTTCTTCTTTGTTTTTATCTCAAAGTTCACCTCGTCCAACACTGCCACTAATTGAAACTTCATCCGAATATTTTGGATTATCTGCATCAGTTCATACTTGCTTTAAAGCTCGACAAAAGACTCCAAGTTCGAAGGATAATGAAATTGAGAAATCCGATTTCCCAATTTCAAATACAGTTATGCGTTGTAAGTTTTTATGATAATTTGTTAGTTAGCATTAACCACAACAGTGGTTAGTTAGCATTAACCACAATGTTTTTTACCTAATCTGTTATTTTTATACTGAAGTAGTCCCTAACTTTAATATGATTTCATTTTTTTATTGTAGCGTGGTTTCAAGAAATATTCACCAGTCTCATTCGGATTGAGGACACCCAAAAAACCCTAATGGGCATGGTGGTTGGTCTAAGCAACACCAAATCTGCTGTTAATGCGCCGGTGGAAGCTTTAAAATTCAGCACAACAGCAAACGAGCTGGATAGTCACCTGACTTATTGGCTCAACCTAAATGATTGTGAACGTCAGTCCTTGGTAACTTTAATTTAAAATAATCTTTACTTAAAGCTATAGTTTTAGCTAAATGTATGCAGTTAGTTTTTTCTATTTCCAATATAAACTGTTATTGTGCCTATGTATTTAAATTAAAGATTGCATCTTTGTCCAATGTCACACTTGCATCACAAAATCTCTCTGGCAAGCTTTCTAATATGTTGTTGTCCCTGGCACCCAGCTCAGTTTGGTCTTTATATAGCCGGGATGGAAAAAGAGGGAAAAGGAGTATTAGCCCAAGTATTCTTCCTATCATAATAGGTAAAAGTGATTGATTTCTATATCTATAACCTAGCCATGCTGTATTTTTTATTTGTTTTGTCAAAAAAAAGTTATACTGTTGTAGTAATCTAATTTCAATAATTGTATAATTGGATACATAATTTTTTTTTTTTACCAATTCCATTTTTTTAAAGATGTAGATATTATTTTTATATTTTATAGATTCTCTGCAGCTAAGATCGCAAAAACGCATTAACGCCCATAAGGTGGCAGAGGCGCTCGGGGATCAATTAAAACGAATGCCAATGCATGCAAAATGCGCAGCAGTCAAGGCAGAAGCCAGACTAATAGGCACACCTAGACGGGCACCAAAGAAGGCTAATATTGCACCTGAATCTATTGGGAATGATAATTCTGACAATAACGCCTTTGATGATATTTGCAACGATGATATTTCGTTTACCAAAGACAGTGATTAGATGAAAAATGTACACAGATTATATTACTATGTTATTATTTTTTTTCCTTATAATAAACTTCTGAATTAAAGGCATTTTTCTGAACGTCATCAATAAACTTTATATGAAATAAAAAATGTATATGAGGAGGGGGGGAGGGTTGTTAGGTGCGAACGACCCCCTTTGTTTGCAAACTCTATTTCACACAAGTTTTATATGTTAAATCTAAAAACAATTATATTTGCTATTCTAATCTTTTTTTTTTCTAAAAATTTTCACGTTACGGTGAAATAGTATTAACGTTAACTTCAATTTTTTTTACAAAATTTTTGATTCAATCAGCTTAACACTACTTGTGTTTTTATTACCCCACAAGCAAAAATGTGTATATAATGTCAACTTTGTAAGATATAAAGTTTTTATTATTCTAACAATATGTTAAACGGTAAGATTACGGTTAGTATCAAGTGATTTTAGAATATGTTATATTTTTAGTTTGATTGTTATTTATTTGCTAATTTTTTCATTTTACCAGTGTATGTTCACTCCTCGCTATATATGAGGCCTACCCTCCCAGCTAAATGCTTTAGGCTGTAGAAGTATGTCTTGTCAAGAATGTTAACAATAAATAAACTAATCTCGTATGATTACGGGAACACTTTTGAAATTAACGCATAAATCAACCAATTGGTTGCAACTAGTAAATTAAAATGGCGCAATATTTGAAAGTCGCCGCAGGTGATTATTAGGTCAAAATGTTACGTATCAATACGTTATATGTTACGTCTCGGTTACGTAAAAGTAACGGACATTTTGCACGTAACGTTACGTTACAATGTTACGTTTCGTTACGTAAAATGTTACGTCTCGATTACGTAAAAATAACGGACATTTTGCACGTAACGTTACGTTACAATGTTACGTATCGTTACGTAAAATTTTACGTCTCGGTTACGTAAAAATAACGGACATTTTGCACGTTTTGAAAACTGTACCTTTAGTTTTAAAACCTTGTACTTTTTGTATAAGAATCTTTCTATTAACTGTTTCAAATGCCCTTTTAAGATCTAGCATTACTGTTACAACTAATTTATTGTTGTTCAAAGATGTTCTCCATTTCGAAAGTAGTAGTTTAATAGCTGATTCATTTGATCTATTTTTTCTGAAACCAAATTGATTATTATGAAAAAATATTATTAGTTTCAAAATAACTTGACAACTGCTTGTGAACAGCAATTTCTAATATTTTTTCATAAGTAGGAAGCATATTAATTTGTCTTAAGTCTTTTGGTAACTTTAGCGACATTAGCTTTGGAATTGGAATGATTGTTGACTTTTTCCATTTAGAAGGAACTTTCCAAATTTTTAACGATAAATAAATAATTTTTAATAGAATACTTGAAAATAATGAGTATAATTCTTTGAATATAATAACATTTAAGCCCTCACACATTGAATTCTTGTTTTGTAATTGATTTACTATATCATTTGAGTCTTGCATAGTAAATAGAGTAAATTCACAAAAACAAGGAATATTATCATTTAGTGATAAATTTTCCATAGCATTATAACTCATATCACTTTCAATTGATGTTTCAATATCTATTATACTTTGGATTAAAAATTTTCCTTTAATTTTCTGATAGAGTTTGTCTTTTGATTTTTCGTCATTGCACCTTATGATTTCTACATTATTTTGATTTCGGATATGTTGAATTTCTACTCCTAATTCTTTTGGTTTGATATTGTCCATAATCAACTTCTTTGTGTTAATTTTATCATGATTGTTAGTTTTTTTGACAACAATTTCACTAAATGTTCTTTCAGATATACTAATACATTGCTTTATATTATTGGGATTTGTTTTATTTTAATTTTATCCTGCAACTCTTTCTTTATTAACTCTTTTTCAATTTTTAGTTCTGTGATCTCTTTATTTAATATTTTGTTATCAGTATATAATTCTTTTATAAATATATATATATATATATATATATATATATATATATATATATATATATACATATATATTTATATACATATATATACATATATATGCATATATATATATATATATATATATATATATATATATATATATATATATATATATATATATATATATATATATATACACATATATATATAAATATATACATATACAAATATAAATATATATATAAATATATATATATATATATATATATATATATATATATATATATATATATGTATATAAATTTCAGCAATATGTAAAATTCCATTTTTTGGTAAAAACCAAAATTTTACACATTTTCCTAATAAAAATACTAAAGTGTGTCAAAAAATGTGTATTTCAAGAATAATAAGTCATATATTTTTTAACTGGGACTTGGAAAGATCTTTTTTAAGTTTCTTTCTATTGTCCCTGGCCACCAGCATTAATTTTTGTTGCATATTGTCAGATTTATATCCACCTACAAAGTCCTGAATGAGGCGTATGTTTCTTTCAGCACAATCGTTGACGCGAGTCAAATTTTTAACAAATTTTTTGAATAAATATAATGACTTTGGGGCTTCTTCTATACTCCACAGCTCTACTTCACCATCAGGTACTTCTGCGATTTTTAACAGAAGCCAACTTTCTAGACCTACAAGTTCCCAAAGCTCAGTGGACTCTGATATGATTGGTAGCTCAGGTTTTCCAATCTTGAACTTGTCAGGAACATCGAACTGAACTAATCTATCCAACATCTCTTTTTTTACTTCCTGCTCTACATCATCATCAGCCAGAGATAGCAGCACCAACTGCTCAGTCAAAGACCTGGTATGTCTTTGCATCCTAGCAACCAATGCTGAACCAAGATTGGGATATTTTTTTTTGATACTAAAAACATTCTTAAAAGCTGCAAGATCATTTGAGGGTGAACTTGCAACCAAGTACGACTTTAGAAACCAAGGTGCATACCAGACAGATGTGAAAAAGGCTGCTGTCTCTATCTTTTTTTTTTTCCACTTCGCTCATAATCATTGTGATTTTATCGGTTATTCTCAGGGTAAGAATGTATAAAGTATCAGCCATAAACCTATAGAGTAAGATTTTGTCACCATTAATATTTATTTATAATATTCTTTTATTTATATGTTATTTATTATACTTAACTTTTTTCTTTTAATATACTGTACCTAGCTTCATGGCAGGCTCCAGGTTGATGAAAACACAGTCCAGGTACTTCTCCTCCCAAATAGAAAACAAAAAGCTCGTATAGTTTCCTGTAATCATTCCTCACAAAAGTTTTTGAGGCAAGGGCCTCTTTTCCAAACTCCAGAGCTTTCTTAGCAATTTCATAAAGAGGTGACTCAACCTGAAGCTGACTCCAATCAAACCTACTATCTATCATCTTGTGAACCTCTTTTTTGAAAAAACACCAGTTATTCTGGAGTTTGACATACAGGCCTTTTCTTGGGCCCTTCGTCTTCTCTCCAGTCAAAGCCTCCATAAAGTGTGAGATGTGTATTTCTAGCATATGTCTTCTACAGAGAAACCATACAAGTGGAATATTAAGAATGGAACTAAGGATAACAACAGCTCCGGAGTGTATTCCAGTATTGGATGCAGTAGTGTCACAGCAAACAGAAAATATTTGATCTACAATGTCATAGTATTCTAGCAAATTCAAAATTGCTTCAGCCTGGTCATTACCTTTAGAACTTGGTGTCTGAACAACACCTAGCAGTATGTCATCTATGTCATCCATATCAGGGGATGTAACACTAACCGCTATTCTTTCTACAAAAACAGTTATTTTTAGATCTTCTTCAATCTGTTTTATCCTTTTTCCATCAAAATGAACACAAAGCTTTTTTCCCTACAGAGTAGTTATAATTTCTTGCCTGAGCTTATCCCCTAATATCTCAATTTTTTTGAATCTTTTTCTATGAACAGTACTTCTTGATAGATTAATATCTTCTAGATTTACACCAGCTTTATTGCAAATTAATTATTATTGTCTTATCATTATCTTAGATTTAGTAGAATGACTGAATCTATTAGGTAATTTTTCATCATCTGAAGAATCTAAACTAAGTTCCGATTCATAATCATTTCCAGATGAATAAAAAGAAGCTTCAAGTTTGTTGGATTTTACTGCTTTAATTGTGATACTACTTTTATCTCTTGCTTCCTACAACATCTTGAGCCGAATATTTTTATTTTTAACTGAATTTTGTAATACTTTATCCAATTCTTCTGTAATATACATGTTTCGCTCTCTTTTTTGATCTACATAAAACCTAATATCCTCCTATTTAGCATTCTCCGAACAAAAACGATCCTGATTTACTTTTTGTTCAAAATTTGCCAATGAAATATCAAAGAGTGTATTACTCTCCTCTAAAAACTCATTCTGTATTTTCGAGAAGTTGCCATCGCTAGAGTTCCAATTCAATGATTTAAGATGATGCAGATTTATGTACTTACTATGGAGCTTCAGTATTTTATCTCCGACACTGGATCCACTGATGATAAAATCTTGAAACCCTGCTTTCTTCCAAGCGTCTATTACAGGGGGAGGCAACACATCTTTGTTCAGAATTCTTGCAGAAACTATCATTGCAGATCAAATCTCTGTTCTCATGCTTTTGAGGGCAGGCTACTATCGACTTTGTAGATTGAAATCTTATTGATCTAAAATAAAAATAGACAAGTATTTATCATTATGGTTTTTTTGTTCTCACAAAAATTTTTTGCCTCATTGTGTCTCATTTTAAATGTTAGGGGGGAGATAAATTAGATTAAATATGTATTGCATAAAATAGATCATTTTTAAATTTTATCATTGTTTTATAGTATATTTATATTTAAAAAAATAATTATTTGTTCTACTTAGGAGATTTTAGAAACTGAATGTATTTATATATTTATATATATATATATATTTCCGATGGTTGCCAGCTGGTTTATTGGAAGCTCATTGATTGTTTAGAAGAAACAGCAGCCTTCTTGGATTCGTTGACATGCTGTACTTTCTTTTCTCAGCCTTTATTTTTTTGTTTTTTTGAGT